CAGGCTTAGTTCAGGCCCTGCCTGCGGCACCCCTCTGGCCCTTGCCGTGCTTCGCCGGCCGGGCGACACTCGCTCCACTGCCTGTGTCCCCCCCCTTTCTGCCTGGCTCTCCGGCCACCTCCCCACCGGCTCCCGGTGTCTGGCCGCTGCCGCTCCTTTGGTGCCTCGCCCATGCCGGTTGCTGGGCTCACCTGCTCGCTCGCGTGGCTTGCCGCCCTCCACTGGGCGTGGCCTTCCTGCCCGCCGCCGGCTGGCGTTCGGGCTCGTCGCCCCTCCCCCCTCGTTCTGCCTGCCTTGGGCCCGCCGCTCCCCCCCCCCCTTGGCGGTGCCCTATACTCCTTCTCTGCCCCGGGTGCCGCACCGCGCCCCGCCGGGCCGCCCCTCTTTCCGCGCTTTCCTTGCTCTGCCTGGTCTCGGCGCTCCCCACCGCTGCCGATGTCGGGGTTCCTCCTTCCCGTCGGCGCGTGTCGAGGTTCTGGGCGCTCGTCTCTCCCGCCCCTCTGCCGCCTTTCTTTGGCCGCTCTCGTCCTGCTCTGCCTGAGCGGTGCCACCCCGGCCTTCCGCCCCTCACGCCCGCGCCTCGCAGGCCCACAGGTCTCGGCGCTTGGACCCATCCTTGGGCCGCGCCTTGGTCCGCTGGGTCGGGTACCGCCCCCATGGCTGCCTTTCCTCTGCTACTGGTCTGTGCCGCTCGGCACTTGCTTCAGCCACATCCAGCCCTGTGCCGTCCAACATACGCCCTTGTGCCCGCGGCGCAGCGCCTGCAGCTGAGGCTGGTCCGTCCTGGCCTTCCCCATTTCCTCGCACGCGCCTCGCCGGCCCGCCAGCCTCAGCGCATTGGTTCATCCCTGGATTGTGCTCGGTCCACCGGGTTGGGCCACGCTTCATTTTCTCTTTACCACCTGCTGCAGCTCCTGGCTGCCCCCCACAGCTTCAGCTCAGCGAAGTCTGAACAGTCTGTGCCGGCGCTGCTCCCCCCGGCCCGGCGCTCCCCCCGCCGCAGCCGGCAGCTCTGAAAGGCCCGGCTTCCTCTCTTCCCGTCGCGCCGGGGCTCCTCCTCCTCCTCCTCCTCCTCCTCCTCCTCCTCCTCCTCCTCCTCCTCCTCCTCCTCCTCCTCCCCCTCCCCCTCCTCCTCCTCCTCCTCCTCCTCCTCCTCCTCCTCCTCCTCCTCCTCCTCCTCCTCCTCCTCCTCATCCTCCTTCCGTGCATTGCGGCCCTGATTTGCACACAGCGTGTCCCCTGTTGCCTATCCGCTGGAGCAGTTGCCCTGCCCAGCCGCCGACGCAACAAAAAAGTGTGTGCGTGTGTGTTGTGGGGGGGGCTGGCGCAACCCCAACGCATAGCGCAAATCAGGCGCAATCTGTGACGGAATGGTGCGCCCACTAAGGCAACGGAGGATTTGGTACATGTGGGTGTTTGGCGCAACCCAGCCTATGGCACAATGATGCACCCGCGGAGGCAACATGGTTCGGTTGGTTGCGGAGGGTCTAGCGAAACCTGTGGCGCAATGCGTGGAGCAAGGTGTCTGGCGCAGAATATGGCACAACCTATGGCACACCCTCTGGGACAACATGCACTTTGGTTCACCGTGGGGGGTCTAGAGTAACGTGTGGCACAGCCTATGGCGTAATCTGGCCGATGCCGTTCAGAGTCTCATGCCGAATTGTAGGGGGCCTGGCGCAGCCTGCAATGGTGCACCCACTGAGGCGACGGACGATTTGGTTGACTGCGAGATGTCTGGCGCCCCCGATAGCGTAATGATACACCCGTGGAGGCAACAGATGGTTAGATTGATTGTGGGGGCCTGGCGCAACCTATGGCGCAGCCTGTCTATGGGGCCATTGTGCACCCACTTAGGCAACGCACGATTTGTTTGATTGCGTGGTGTCTAGCCCAACCTCTGGTGAAATATAGGGTGCCTGGCGCACCCGATGGCGCAACCTATGGCGCACCCCCTGGGGCAACGGACGCTTTGGTTGACCGCGGAGTGTCTACCGCAACGCTCGGCACAGCATAAGACAGATGCTGTCCAGAATATCTTGGCCAGCTGATGTTACCCGGACGGCCCTCGGCGGAGAATCCCAGCCACACCTGGGAAATGAGAGGGGCTTCCTTCCTTACTGAAAGCTCCTTACAATCGCCGCACATCGTTTAAGGACTGACAGTGGGAATGTAATGCCCACGGCCGTCCGCACACGAGAGCGTTACGGAACCAGCTACCGACCGGCCCAAAGACAGGCATGAAAAGGTATCCTTGAAAAGCAACGGCTGTACATACATCGAAGCTACTACCGTGAGGAACACTACGTAAGGGACGAAGCCCACGGAGGTGCTGTCAGCACGGGAGTAGCATATGCACTCCAGAGGCATCGAGGACTCTGGGATGACTTTGCGCGCGCCCCAGGAGGGCACAGGGTCATAGCAGAGAAAACAGCGGCAGCTACTGACGCGACGGCGGCGACGACCGACAGCTGCGAGGACGAGGACGACAGACGAGCAAGCGAGCGCAGCGACGACGGGCTGCACCTCGAAGGAATGAACTGCACAACCATAAACTGCACAAACGTCAACTGCACAAACATAACTTGCATCGATCATGGAAGATGAACACATATGCATAAACAGAAAGTTCGAAGGTCTGCGCAGATTTCTTGGATCGGCGCTGGAACCCCTTCCCTGCCGCGCGGACTGCGACAGGGGCGGTGCCGCAGACGCTGCCAGGGGGATGCAGCGTGTAGCGCAGACCCGAGAAATTCGCGATAACCTTCGAAAGCTTCTGTTTATGCCGCTTGCGGCGATGAGAGAGAAGATGGGCCTTCTCCCAGTACTCGCGGGGCCCTCCCGCTTGGCACGGACAGCTTGTGCGGCTGCCAGGGCTTCGAGCCGAGAGAACAACAAATGCTGTTCCTGCGCTCCAGCAGGGCAAACGATGCTGGTCCAACATTTGTGTGCTGCCCTCCCTTCTCGTCTTCTTCCCTCCTCGTCGTCCTCCCTCCTCCTCCCTCCTCCCTCAAACTCGTCCCCCTCCTCCCTCCCAGGGGACGAAGAGAGCTAGGAGGAGGGGCAGGAACAAGAAGATGGCGGCCGAACCTGTGCACTCTCGCGCGATAACTTGCTGGGAGAAGGGCGCGGGAACGCCGAGGGGACGCACGGCGGACCAACGGGCCACCCACGACGTGGGTCCCACGTCGCACGGACCTGCTGGAGCGCGTCGAGCAGGAATTGAACGAGCAGAGGCAGTGGTTGAACCTTGCCCCCCCCGCCCCCCTTCTGGACCAGAAAACCAACGACACCACCCCACCTACGGCACCAGGGGCCTTAGGGCGTGTACCAGGACATCCGACGCGGGCTTCTGCGTGATGTGCGCTCCGGCGCCCGATGAGGGGTAGCGCAGCACGGAGGGCCTATAGGTGGGGTGGTGTCGTTTGGTTGTCGGTCGACCCTCCTGTTCCAGATCACACCCTGACTCGAGCCTAGGACAGCTCTGCGGAAGCGAACCATATCCGCCGCCTCCGCGCCGCTGGGCACGGAGCGGGCGTGCCCCCAGGTCCTCTCACTACCCTTAGGTCGGGCATGTTCTCCTACAGGCGGTTTTTGGGGCGAACCCCAAAAAGTCCAAACATGCGCATACGTATATAGCCGAACCTAGTCAAAACATCGTCCCCAGACTATTTTTTGACTATTTGTGAATACGCCTCCTGGTGGAGAGACAGGCCCGACTTAACACTACCCCATCCAAGCCTCAGGCCTCATTCCTGAGGAGTCTGTCAGGGGTTCGGAGCCTCTCGGCCCAAATCGCTCGGGGCGTTGCGCGGTCCCCCTGGGCTCGCCCGAGTGTTCCCACGCGCATTTGTCGGGCCCCAGACGGCCCGAAGACGGGCCCAGCGAGCCCCCCCGAAGCCCCCAAGACAGTCCAACAGGGCCCCGAGTCGCCGAACGATCGCTCCAAGACGCTCGAGATGGCCCCCATACGGCCCAAGAGGCCTCCAAGGCGCCCAGTGGCCTCCAAGAGGCCTCCCAAGAAGGCCCCAAGAGGTCAAAATCGTTGATGTCCTAAGGATTTTGTAGGCTTTCGGCGTTCTCTGCTTCCCGACGCTCCCAGACTGCCCCAGAGGCCCTCATGACTGCCCCAAGACGACCCAAGACGCCTCGAAGAGGGCCCCCAACCGACCCACGACGGCCCCAAGACAGGCCAAGAGGGCCCCAAAACGGCCCAAGAAGGCCCCAAGACGGCCCCCAAAGGGGCCCCAAAGAGGGATCACGAACCGAAAATCCCAGCCTTCCGCTCCAAAAGGCGCCCAGGAGCGCCCAAGAGGCCGCCAAGCGGCCCCAAGAGGGCCAAAAGAGGCAACAAGAGGCCCCCAAACGGCCCCCAAGATCCGTCCAAACTGCCTCCAAGAGGCCCCAGAGAAGTCCCCCACGAGATCCCAACGAACATCCAATAGGCTTCATACCCACAACATGGGCACGGTGGCGGGATGGGCCGAAGGCCATCAGATCAGAAAGAGCGAGCGAGTGCGGGAAGGGTGGACGGGTAGGTGCAACGAACAGGACGTGCTATGCAACGCTACAGGCGCACCTGAAAGTTGTGACTGCTACCGATGCTATGAATCAAACACCATCTTCTCAACATTCTCCACGTCGTCCTCCTCCCTCCTTGCTTCCTCGTCCCAATGCTTCCTTCTTATTCTTCCGTTCTCCTCCTTGAGCATGAACAAGACGAGCACGCGAATCAAGTGCACAAGCGCATGGCACTGGAAACCCGAATGTAACAACTCATCCCTGCATGCAAACGCTGTGAGTTGCTCGCTGTCACGAACGCGCGTCCGTGAGCCATTTGCCAGCATTTTTCCTGTCGCGCGACGACATATCTACAGGACACGTTGGGACTGAGCAAGCTCGTAGTCTTGGACGGCAGTAGTATCTCGATGAGCACGAACTCACGCCAGCGCGGTGGGGACACATGAGGCGGCATGACGAAGAGTGAAGTCGAAGACTTCGTAGAAACAACGGGTGACCGGATTCAAATAGCATGTCAGACAAGCGTGCCCTACGCAGGCTCAATGGGCAGGCATCCATAGCAGCGTCCCAAGCACATCACCCCGTAAGGCACTCATCTTCGTGTCCTGTGCAGGCAGGCCAAGCACTGCAAGGGATGGCATTTCATGGAGAACGAACGGGAGGGTGGCGACACACCGTACCAAACAAAACACTGAAAGCCTGGACATACCTAATGTCCAGATTGTCGAGGAGAGTCAACATCAGAGCAGGATGTGCACCCTATTCCCCCCTCGTTCCCCCCTTTCCTTCCCCTCATCATTCTACTCCTGCTTATCACTCCTCCTCCCTCCTCATCGTCCTCCCTCTAACCTCGTCCTTCCTAGGCCGTTCCCCCCCGCTACTCCAGCTCGCCCTCATCCTCACTGCTCCTCGTCCTCCTCCCTCCTCCCTCCTCTGCCCTCCTGCCCCCCTCCGTCGGCCTTGGCCCCACACCAGGCTCTTTGTTCGATCGGAACACTACTACAGAGCGGGACCCGTTCGCTCCTCTTCCCACGCCCTAATCCGATTTCTTTCGGCCTGTCAGCGGCAACTTGTCGTGTATTGCCGATACTGATGCCGGTGCCTCCCTCTGGCCCCAACCCCTGCCCTCCTCCCCTCCCCATCCCCTCCCGCCGGATCGACCAGGAGGGGATATCTTCTTGGGGCCTCGGGACACCTCGCTGGGTGGCCTTCTGGAGCCTCCAGGGGGGCCTCGCGGGGGGCGGTCTCCCAGAACCTCTGGAGGCCTCGCGGGGTCGCCTCCGGAAGCTTCCAGGGCCCCTCTCGGGGTGGCCTGCAGGAGCTTGCTGCAGCACTCTGGGGCGTCCTGTGGCCTCGTTGCGGCCTCCTGGCTCTTGCGGTCTCCGGAGACTTCTTCCTCCTCGTGCCCCCCCCTCTCCTCGAGCAGAGGAGAAAGGGAGGTGAGGGGGGAGGAGCGAAGGGAGGAGCGGAGGGGGAGGCGGAGAAGGAGGAAGGAGAAAGGAGGGATGATCGGAGGGATGAGCGGTGGGGAGGAGAAGGAAGGAGTACGGAGGAGGAGTAAAGATGAGGAGGAGGAGAAGGAGAAGGAGGAAGAGGAGGAGGAGTAGGAGGAGGAAGAGGAGGAGGCGGAGGAGGAGGAGAGGGAGGATTGTGCTGGATCCTGCTGGCCTGACCTCCGAAATTGCGAATCACGCGTAGCGGCGGCGATGGAAGCTTCCCCTACCCCAGGCCGTACCTGGGCGACAGGGTTCGGCTTTGCACATGTGGCTCTGTAAAGGGCCGACTCTTCGCGAGCCTGCTGCGCACGCCTGCGCCCTTCTCGCGCGAGCTGATCGCATCGCTGTGGCTGCTGCAACTGCCCGCCCTCTCGCACGAGCTCCCGCTTCCAAATTGCAGCTGATGTTTAACACTGGTTCCAACTCTCGCCATCGCTCGGACGTCCATTCCTCGTATATTTTTCGATTTCGTGCGTGTTTTGTTTTTTCGCCAAATGATCAAGGATGGTCCTCGATGGTCCTCGCCGAGAAGAAATGCACACGTCCGAGCGATGCCAAGCCCCCCAAACGAGCCGCGACGAGTGCTGCCACTGCCCGCCCCTCTCGATCGACGGGCCGCCCGCGGCCCACCGACCGAGTCCAATGCACAGTCACCCGGACCGCCCCCGAGCCGGGCCAAACAGGGCTGCAGCCTGAAAACGTTGAAGGGGCCCCAGGACACACAAACAAATACACACAAATAACATGATCGACCCACGAACCCGGAAAGGAATATAGAAATGTAAGGCATTGCAACATTTCGAAGACACCTGATTGGGCGACGGGCACATGCAATGCTGAATGTATCGATGATGATGTACTGT